ATGTGTAATTATAGAGGATTAGTGTAATTGTCGGTGAAGTAAATTTGAAGTTTCTGGTGTAGTGTGTAGATTCCTGTAGGAGTGGTGTGAAATGATTTGTACTTTGCATTTTTTGTAAGTTTCTCTGTGTGTATAACATAGCTGCTTTGATACTGGATACATTTCTGAGAAATCAGAAATAAAATATTATTGCATCATCGTCATATTTTAAATACAAAGTACTTCAGTACCTGAGCATTTCTGTTTTGTCCGCAGTTCCATATTTTGGATGTACAGTATTTGGCAGATAATATCACAGATGGTGACCCATCAGTGAGGGATAATGTTAGCTTTTGTGGCCACCTAGAAATTTTAGGGTAAGGACCCTTTTCTCCCACAACAGATTATTTTTTATCTCCCAGAACCAACAGTGCACCCAACAAGACCTAACAAGACAGTCATCCTACATAACATTTCATTTCATTTTATTTAAGTCTATCAATATACACTTCGCACAAAAGTGTCCTAATATCACAACAATTTCTATAACTGTCCACTGGACACACAGAATTGCATGAGAAAAATTATTCACAAGGACACACACTCACAAACCAGCACAAGAGCCCCATGGATCCCAGTTACCAAAACTAATGTCCTAAAGGAAAAAGTGCAACATCTCTGTTTTGTAAAACCAGCTTCACTCAGTGACCTGGTGTGCTCCCTTCCACTACAGTAAAGAAGCTCTGTGCGTTTTAAGGTATTCTCCTTGGTCTTTGCCCTCCTGTCCTTTTATGTGCTTCATTCCTTTGGTGCTTCCCTACCACCCTAACACACTTCCTTTCCCCAGGACCATTAACGACAACTCATCCATCTTACAGGATGATACCTCAATCGGTGCCCTCTTTTTTGACTGCCCTATCATCTCATATCGCCGACCACCTTATCTGTGCAATCTTCTTGTTCACAGCTCCCTTGACCGCCCTCAGCAATCATCAACACCAGGCACTTTCTCCTGCAACAAAACTTGCTGCATCATCTGATAGATAGATACTTTATTGATCCCGTGAGGGAAATTGCAGAGCAACAGCAGCTTAACACAGACAACACAGTCATAGTATAACGAATGATACAATAATAATAATAATAGTACAATACATACAATACAATCAGTACAGTGAGGGGTGCACTAAAAGAGTTACTCACAGTCCGGACACACAAAGAACAAACTAGAACAGAACAGTACACAGAAAAATCGTATCACACATATG